AGCCCAGCGCGCTGCGAACGCGCTGCAGGCGCGCTGCGGACGCGGTGGCCATCACCTAGATTTAGTTTCTCGAAAAGCAGCCCGTGAGGAGGTATGGCGCTAGCAGTGAAATAGTTGGCTATACAATTAATGGGCATCACGGCATCAACCAAACTTTTCTACCTTTGTGGAGGATATGTCTGGCTGTAGGTTGTGTTATATACATGTATACAAAAACGCGTTTTTCTACCTTTGTGCCCTTTACATGCCTATGTCATTGTGTGCAACCCTGTACAATTAAGGCAGGATCCAATTTGGCGGCTTTGAAAGCACCACAGCATCTGGCAGCGATGAGCTTTGCAAAAGCCATGCATTGCACAATGTACCTGTTGCATCTGGCGGTACCTTGGGTCTGACAAAGAACTCGAGGTTCGTCAAGTGAAACCTCAGGGACGGTGGCCAAAAAAACCCAGTTACCCATGATGGTTTCAAGCTTCAAGCCGCATGAAAAAACAAACATCTGGATTCGTGTGAGGCTGAATCAACCATCTCTGGGCCTCAATGTCAGTAGCAAATGAAGCCACTGCAGGCTTATCGGAATCCATCCTGACAAGCTCATATTCGAGCCTCGCCTTCAAACACCTACGGCATGCACGAGCAAGCAGTGCATGGCATGGCTTGAGCTTAGAAATCAAAAATATCAAAATTCCATGCAATTCCCGAAAAAAAAGGCAACATACGCCACAATACGTTACCAACCTGTCGCGGGTCTTGTTGAGCAGCGCCGCACCTGGAGGCCAATGATCGCAATGTTGTCTCCAGCTGCTGGTAGGCCTGTCCAGGTCTCCAGCTTGACCTATCCTGACCTCCAGCAGTTTAGCCATGTTTAGCCTTCACCCCGGTTGCGTTCTTTTTGTTATTCTTTCTCCCGCTCTATATCTCTATCTCTCTACTTAAGTATTTGTTTCCCTCCCTCCCTCCCTCCCAACCTCCCTCTCTCCCTACCTCCCTCCCTCACTCTCACACTCTCACTCTCTCACTCACTCTCACCTCTCACGTCTCACTCTCACTCTTTTTTTTTTTTCACTCTCTCTCTCTCTTGTAAAATTCAGCAGCTGTTTGTTTGTCGTTTGTTTGTGCACGTCTCTGTATTGTTTTCCTCTGGCAACTGTCCTTAGGCTCAAGGCCTCGATCCAAGGAGTACGAGAGAGTAAATGAACTATTGTAAAAGAACTTGTCTCTTGACACCGTCCCTTGGTTTGATTCATTGTGGAATCACACCATCCATAAACATTGTTGAAACTGTAAAGGAATATTATTGTCCAAATCAGTTCAAAGCATTGTGAAGTCTGTACATCAACTTGCCATTGTTCTTCCAGCTGGTTGCCTTTTCGCTTCGTTGTGCTCGTTTGAAACTGTCACATCTGGGACCTGGCAACTTGTAGAACCATTGTTCTAGCCCTCCATGAAGTCGATCGTATTGTCCAAGGTCTCGGTTCTGGGACGTTTTGTCCCCTTTCCATCCTCTTCACCCTCGGATTGTTCCAGGTCAATTGTCCTGTCACGTTCCTTAATGTAGGAACTGTGTTCAGGATGTCCTCTCTGATGCCGCTTCGGGATTGTCACGTGGTACGTGTCAATCTTTCTCTCTGCCTTGTAAACTCCAAGGGCCACTTGTACCTCTGGTAGCAATTGTGACTGGCCGAATTGTCCAAGATGTGCCAGCGCCATTCCGAAGATTGTGTGATGCGGAGAATCTTCCGGAAGGGTCAGCATTGTTCTCACGTGCATTGTGCATTGTGATAGTCGATAGTTGTGTGGTGCATGTACTTGTAGTACCTGCACGCTGTACCCTCGCTGGAATGACGAGAGCTTCTTTTGTGACATGTGATGGATCTGATTGTATCCATCGAAGGCGACCGCGATCAGCACCGTCTCATTGTTCGACATTGCGCGATTCTCGGATTGGTGGTATGCAAGCCATTGAATGGCTTCCTCGCTTGTTGGGACCAGTATGAACTGTTCCCAATTTCCGGGTTTCCGGAGATTGCCCGGAAGTTTGTCGATTCTGCCATCTGCGTTCAACATTGTCCCATATTCGGTCATTGTGACCGCTGCAAACCAGTAGTTCATATTGTCTTCAAGGGCCTCTGCCCATGCCATGTCCTTGTAGTTCTCGGGATGCAGCATTCTGCTCTCAATCTTGTCCACGTTGAGGATTGTCGACTTGTCATCCCACAGCGAGATTGTGACTCCCGTGGGCAACTGGCTCTGATTGTGGTAGTCGGGGATTGTCATCTCGACTGCCATCTTCAGCTTCGAATTGTTCTCCCCAAGGAGTTCGGTCAAGATTGTCGCGGCTTGTGAGCAGGAAAGGCGGCTGCGGTCAAAGATTGTCGACAAATTGTCAACCGAGAAAACATGCATTGTCTTTCAAACTCAAAATGCAAAACTTCAAACACATTGTTCTTCGGGTTGTACTCCGAAACGACGAAATGAAAAGCCGGGCTTATTGTGAGACTCAAGATCTTGTAGTACATATTGTCTATGACATAGTATGCACATAGTAGCTAAAGTAGTGTGCCATGGCTTGACGCGCCCATGTGTGTGTTGTACACGCATTGGTGCTGCCACGGTTGTGAAACTGTTTGTACGGCCGTTGCTCAGTTGTGGTGTTGTGGGCATTGAATGCCCGCCATGTAGAGGTGTTTGTTAAGCACCTCTGCCGAGACATACTTTGTCAGTATGTCTGCTGGGTTGTCGTGTGCGCTGATCTTGTGTATTGACAGTACCCCGCTTTGTACCATTTGTTGTATGAAGAGGTACTTCAGGTCAATGTGCTTTGCTTTCTTTGACGAGCCAATTCTTGTTGCAATGCTTTTGCCGCTTGTGCTGTCTGTGTGTATACGTATGTTCACCTTGGTTGTTGTGGCTTCCTTGATGAAATTTGCTATATGTAGTCCTTCTTGTGCTCCTGTTCCTATCGCATATAGTTCTGACATGTTCTGACTCTGCTGATGACAGTGCTACTACTGCTTGTGTTCTGCTTCCAAATTGTACCACGGATCCCATCATTGTCACGATGATTCCACTTGTTGATTTTCTTGCGCTTGGGCATCCTGCCCAGTCCGCATCGACATAAATGTTGAGGTCGATGGGTTCCTTTGTCTGCGGTGTATGTGTTGTCCTCAGGATCATCTTGTAGTGTTGTGTTCCCCTGAGGTATTGTAGGAGATGCTTCACCTTGCGAAGGCTTTGCTGTGTTGGTTGTTGTAGATCTCGCGCTAGTTCTTTTGTTGCAAAGCTGATGTCTGGTCTTGTGTAGGTCAGCCATTGTAGCTTTCCTACTGCCCTCCTGTAGTCTGCATGTTCTTGTGCATCTAGAGGTGCATCATCGTTTGTGGATTGTTTCAGGGTTGCCGTCCCTGGAGTTGATGCTGGATTGCTTGCTTCCATCTTTGTTTCCTTCAGCAATGTAGTGATGTATTCTGGTTTGAGGCTTACCTCAAAGAAGTCTCCATTGTTGTGAATGCCTCTGCCAAGGAATTGGATTTTTTGACCAATTCCCAATGTGCCGGTTGGTCGTAGTAGTACATGCTTTTGTACTTCATTGAAAGTCTTGTCGACTTCTTGTTGTTGTCCAAGGAATAGTAGGTCATCCGCATAGACCATGACAAACATTGTCAGTTCATTGTTCCTGTACACGTTGGGTTCACTTGTGAGTCAAGACAGTCCCAATTGTCGCAGGACCTGTGCAAAGTGATCTTGCCAAGATTTTGGACTTGATCGTAGTCCATAGATTGCTTTGTGGAGCTTCCATACTGTAGTTGTGTTGTGACCACTTGGGTATAGTTCTGGTGGTGGCCACATGTAAAGATTGTCTGTCGCTGCTGGTGCATGTAAGAATGCTGTTGACACGTCTCCTGCTTGTATCGTCCAGTGGTTGTGCTGTGCCATTGTCAGTAGGATGCGCAAGGTCCCAAAGATCGGTGTGCTCGCATAGATGTTGTCAAGGTCTTGGATTGTTTCCAGGAAACCTTTTGCTACTATGCGGCATCGTACTTCATCTTGTTTGGGTTTGTTAACCCACTTGGATTCTATGATCCTGTTCTTGTGTTCTTCTGTGACATCATCGTAGTTCATCTCTGTGAACACTCCTTGTGTCTTCATCGATTGGGCTTCTTTCTTCATTCCTTGTTGTACTTTCAATGGATCAAGACCTTCATTGTCGTAGACGAAGGGTTCTTGTAGCATCCTTTCCACTTCTGCTTCTTGTTCATCTTCACAGGATGCTGTGGTGATCTTGTCACCTTTCCTTGTGGTGATTGTCACTGCTTGTATTATCATCTTTGCTTTTGGTTGTTCTTCCTCTTGTCCTCGGTTTGCTGCTGTTGAGGACTGTGCTGTCCTTGATTGTTTGGATTGTGCTTCTCCTGTAGGTTCCTCGTGTTGTCGCTTGCTTGCTGGTGGTAATGGCAGTGGTGGTCTTGCCATTGTTGTTGGTGAAGTTGCCAATGGTGATGTTGCCATTGTCACATCCATTGGCTGATGATGCGTTGCTTGTGCTGGTAGTGCCAGTGGTGTCTCTTGTCCTGTCTGCGTGCTTGTATCTTCCACTGTGATGTCAGCTTGTGTGCCAATTGCTTGTCTGTTTGTGGTATTGTCAGCTGGTAGGAGCAATTGTGTTGGAACTGCCATTGGTGCTGTTGGCAAATTCCATGGATACACGTTGATGGTATCCAATAGTTGCTTGTCGTACTTGTCTGGCATGATCTGTCTTCGAATTGTTCTTGCTTTGATAACTTTGCCAGGGATGCCGACTATTGATTCTCCAGTCATTGTGTCCCTGCCAAGCCAGATTCCTTTGAAGAATCTTGGCTCCATCTTGGGTTGTGCCTTTGTTGTTGGTATCATGTATTGTACTGTTTCTGCCATTTCGCATAGTGGTTCTTTGTGGTCCTTCTGCCATCGTCTTTGGTAACTTGTTTGTCCGTCATTGTGCATGGCATACCTGTTCAGTAGCCAGGCTGCATGCCGTACAATCCACGGCGTGACCGGATGTTGTACGCTCAGTGTGAGGTTGTAGCTTGTGGTCACTTGTTGTACCAGTGCTCGGACTTGTCCCATCAAGGTGCGATGGAATCGTTCAATGCTTCCTTGTGATTGTGACAGTATGCCGGTGATTGTCGGATGTTGACGTTGTTTCCGAGCTTTTGTGCGACGGTCTTCAGCAGGTTCTGTATGTATTCTTCTTGGTCTGATTGTAGGGTTGTGGTGGACAGTGTTGCTTGTGCTCGCCCACATTCAATCATGAATGTTTGTAGACATCGTATCAGGTATTGTTGTTGTTGGTTCTTGTCTTGCACAAGAACTGCCAATGCCATACCTGATTCGACATCTATTGCCGTGAGTACTGGTAGTACTTGTTTGTCTCCAAATGCTTTCATGTAGGTGAAGTCCACTTGTATCACTGGTTGTTTGCTTGCTTGTTTTGGGTGATTGTCTGTCCTTCCTTTGCTCTTGACACATATTGGGCACCATGAGCGATATGGTAAGTGTGTCAGCTCATGTTCTAGCCTCTCTTGTCTTGTTGGTTGTTGTGGTGCCTTCATTCCTTTGGCGCGTTGTGCTTGTTGTGATTCATCTTCATTGTCTGTATCGTACTCGTACTTGTACGTCGCTTCTTCCTCAAAGTTTGTTGATCCTGTCCATTGTCTGTCGAGCTGTCTTGCTCCTGATTCCTGCCAATTGTCATGGATTGTGTATCCTCTTCCTTGTTCCGTTCGGTTCACGAATGTTGTCCGTGTAGGTTTGAGTCGTCCAATGTCTGGACCATCATCTGTCTGTTGTGGTACGTACATTGTTGTCCGCGCTTGTACGTGAACTCGTTTCCAATAGTGTCCTTCTCTGATCCAATAGTCTGTTGTTGGTGTCATTGTTGATGGATCAGGTACTGCCGTGGTTGTTGGTGCTGGCTTCTTCGTTGTGTGTCGGTATAGTGGCTCTCTGCTTGCCTGTGGTGTTGTCCCGTCTCTTTCCGGGATTCGTCGTGTTGTGGATTGATGTCGTGCCTGTATTGCTTGCGATGCTTTCTCTGTCTGCTCTGTTGTCTTCGCTGTTGTAGGTACCGGTTGTGCTGGCGGCTTGTTCACTCTGAACCATGTTTCTCCTGTCCATGTGTCTCCTTGTATCACTCTTCGTTGTTCGTGTTTGTTCAAGTCATGGTATTGTTCAACAATGTCTTCGTTGTTCCCGTCGGTTCGCCGAATGATTGTTCGTCTGTAGTTGCTCAATGTCTCCAGTGGCACTGGGCAGTTGTCGCCAGGAACAAAGAGAGCTTTCCTCTTGTTCCGGTGATACCGTACAAGGTATCCTTCATTGTTGTAGTTCCAGTAGTCGCTATTGCCTCCAAGGACTTGTCGTGGTCCATGTCTTGTCAATGTTGTTGGGGCAATCATTGCAATCATGCCCTTTTGTGTTTGTCTCAGCTGTAGCTGTTGATGTTGTCCCAGGTTCATGACTGTTGCTGGCAAGTAGTAGGGAACATTGAACCCCTTGTCATGGCGCATTGTTGGAGTGTCGTTGAACCTGATGTCAAAGCCTTGTTCTGCCAGTCTTGTCACTGACAGGATTGGGTCATGGATGTCACACACATAGAATGGTATGACAATTGGCTGTCCTCTTGATTGCATGTAGACCCATCTTACTCCATAGCATTGTATTGTCTTGTTCGTCACTGTCCTGAGGTTTGGGCTCTGTGCTTGGTCAATCTTGTACACTGGATAGTTGTCTGCAAACCATAGTGGACAGACGTGTGTGGCTGCTCCACTGTCGATCATGATGTGCATAGTGTCTGTTGTGCCGCTACTTGTTGTACCTGTTTTGTAGTCATTGCCATTGTTGATCATGGCGATGACATGGATTGGTGTCATGTCACTGTTGCCGTTGGATGGGATTGGCGGAAGTGCCAATGGCTGTTGTCCTTGTTGTTGTCTCGTGTAGTCCTGACAGTACCATCCATTGTCATAGTAGTCGTCGTACCATTGTGAAGTTGTATCCTCAATGTCAGGGCGTTCTCCTTGTCCAATATTGTGAATTGCCACTCGGCAGTCTTTGGCAAAATGTCCTGTTCTTCCACATCTGTAGCATGTATCTGTCGCTTGTTTTCCATTGTTCTTGCCTTTTCCTTTGTTGTATCCTTTGCTGAATCCTTTACTTCCTTTGTTGCCTCTTCCGAATGGATTGCCAAAGCCAATCGGACTGTTGTTGTAGTTGTTGAATCCTTTTCCTCCATACTTTCCTTTTCCTTTGTGGTTCATGTTGTAACTGTTGTACCCGTAGCCGTTGTATCCTCCGTAGCCTTTGCCTTTGTTCTTTCCTTTTCCTTTCCCTTTGTAACTGTTGTACTTGCCTTTTCCTTTGTGGATTGCATCAATGTCCATGGGTGCTTGTCCTCCACCAAAGTTTGTTGCTACACTGGATGATTGTGTCGTAATTGTTGTAGTTTGCTGAATGCTGTTGTTGATCTGTAGTACTCGATGATGGTTTGTTTGACTCGTGCATAGTTTGGGCTTTGTCCTGAAAGCAGTTGTAGATGTTGTTGTAGTGGTCCACTTGTCTCGTTGAGCAATACGGCAATCTTCACTGAGTCTGGGAGTGTTTGTCCATTGTCTCGCTCAAATCTTTGTAGCTCGAATTCCCATGTGGAAAATGATTCTTCGAAGTTGTTCTTGTCAAATGTTGGCTTCAACAGTCTTGTCAAGTGTCCTATAGATCTTGTCCCCAATGGGATGGAGAAGCGGATGCACAATTGTCTGTACATCTCGAAGCCAATTGTGTTTTGGTATTGTCTGCAGACTGTGGCTGCAGCTCCTGTTGTTGTGTTGATGGGGATGTACCTCAAATTTGTGCTGAGGCGAACATGTCGTTCACCATCTTCGATTGTTGATGCCGCTGCTCGTAATTGTACCTCTGTGAGTTCTGCTGTGCCTCGTTCTGCTGCTTGTAGTAGTTCTGCGTAATCATTGTCTTGCAATCCCATGTATGCTGTGAACTTGTACTTCCATTCCTCGAACGTGCCATAGTCTCCATTGAAGAAGGGTGGTTTGAGTTTGTATCTGTTCATGTTTGCTATGTTTGCTGTTGTCTCATCTTCTGGAACTGGAGGCAGTCCATCTCCAGCTTGAGCTGCTGCTTGTTGTGCTGCCATTGCTGCAGCTGTGCAAGCTACCTGTTGTAGGGTCAAGGCTTGCTCTCCGTTGTGTGTGGTTGTGGGCCTGTTCCCGTTGTTGTATTGGAGCTCACCTGGATTGTTGTTACCAGGATCCTTGCTCCGCTACCATGTAAAATTCAGCAGCTGTTTGTTTGTCGTTTGTTTGTGCACGTCTCTGTATTGTTTTCCTGTGGCAACTGTCCTTAGGCTCAAGGCCTCGATCCAAGGTGCATTGTACAGCACCGTGCAATTGTACATGAGCAGTACGAGAGAGTAAATGAACTATTGTAAAAGAACTTGTCTCTTGACATCTTTTCCTCCCCCTCGCTTTCTTCTCTTCCACTGGACTCTGCGGTACTCATTCATTCACACTGGTTCTGTCTTGTCACCTGCCTCAGAAGTCAACAGATCCCAAAATGCCAAGGCATGCGCCAGGCTGAGGACTGCCTGCGCGGGCTTAGCGAATTCCCGAATTCTCATGCAGAGTTTTGCTACAGGTGAGTGAGTGAGTGAGTGAAGCTGGCGCGATAGAGCGTTTGAGGATAAACATGATCTGCTTTTAACATCGGTACACGTGCACGCCTGGCCGAGAAATCGCAAAACAAATTGACCCTAATGACATCTAATTACTCTTGTCATCTCTTGTCCTGATCTCAAGGTCTCACAAGGTCTTCAGGTTGAAAGGCTTAGACTTGCTTCCTTCAAGGCACGTATTGCAAGAAACCATGCGATTGCTACACGTTTGGCAAATCTTCAGAAGGAACCTTAACTGATGGCAAATCATCGGTCTCCACCTGAACATGGCACATCATGGCATCCATCCACACTGTCTCGCAATGGCCAACAGTGTCCAACTGCCACTTTGACATGACACATCTATGGCACGCAATCTCGACAAGGAGATTCCCTTCGAAATAGCCGGGAGATCATACATATGCGCTGTTGTGGCCCTTGCTATTCATTCACACGCAGGCCAGTGGCCTCTTTGGCCACATCGATCAGCTTGAGCCTGTCGACCCAAAGGATGCGAAGTTGTTCTTCATGTGTCCGCTGTGAAGTCCCGTAAGTCAGCGCATGAACCATCATATTGGATTGTCACTCTCATGTGGAAGGAATGTGAACCGAGAATATCCAGTGGCAAGATGTGGCGAGACCCTTCTGAAGTCACAATGAGCATTTTCCAATCTCCATGGAACATCACGGAACATTAGTAACAAGAAGCTACAGGGGCTCCTGGCCTTACTACTAGGAGCAAGGACGCTACTAGGGGCTCCTGGCCTTACTACTAGCAGCAAGGACGCTACTAGGGGCTCCTGGCCTTACTACTAGGAGCAAGGACGCTACTGGGGGCTCCTGGCCTTACTAATATAACAAGAAGCTACTGGAACATGATTCAGACCTCCCAATCTGCAAGGACATCCGCCTCTCGACGGCGGACTGCAGCAGGTTCCTGCCGCGAAGCGGCGGGTCAAACAGGTGCAAGGGTCGGCTATAGTAAGTAGGCGAGTGCCCTTGTTGCCATAAAAATGCCTAGTGGTTCAGCCTCCCCAGCTCAAAATCCCGTCTCCCATGTCAGGGAACTGCAACATGAACATCACAGGCACCCTCCTGGGATTATTGCGCGGACACCCTCTTGGCACCTCATGATCGTGCTTTGACACTGAAGCTCCGCAAGTGCTTGAGCTGCCTGGACAAACAAAAGAACCCAACAATTGCTGCAAACATAGGGCGAACACATGGCCTGGGGGACCTCAGCTTACAAATTGTGATATCATTGATAGTCTCTGGAGATAACACCGTGCTCGGCAAATGTTCCTACAACTGTTTACAACAACTGCTATATATTCGGTAGAAACATTAGACAAAACAACTATATATAGAAATGGTTTTTTGGTACAATTATAAGAACATGAAAACTGGCCATGGGACTGTAGTAATACTGCGGTAGCCAATTGCTTGGGCTGGGAAGCCCTGCCAAAGAAATACTAGGCACCCCACATTGGCCACACCTTGCACAGTAAACTGAAGAACTTCCAGCTTCGCAATGATGGCGTCCAGAAACACCTACCATCAAATTAGAATCCATAGTCCATCATGTTCACTCTTTTGCCGTTCCCATGTCATGTCATGTTCATTCTTCGCCCAAATGCCCCAAGTTTACTTGGTCAAAACAGCCAACACTGGAATCATGCTCCTCAAATTCCCTCAACTTGCTATGCCAAACTCCAAACAGCTGTAATCAAAACAAAGCTCGATCGCCATGGTACGAACGACGGTTGCACCGGTCGGGCCCCGATCACTTCACAGCGGAGCCTCGGAACGAAGTTGAACTTTTCCAAAGCACCAAGCCTCGGTGCTGTCAGCCAGCCGCGAGGCCGTCCGAGGCCGTCCGAAAAAAACGAGTCATTCAGACTGGGACCAGGTTGGCAAGGCCTTGCTCCTGCGCCGAAACGACAGGTCAAAGGTGCTGATTGTGTTACCAAGGTGGAACAACTGGAAGGTGTTTCAGGTTGGAATCGGTGGCCTCTTATTTTTGTTTCTCGCCTGTTCAATGTCGATCTCAGTCTCAGAAACCCGGGTGGCAACTGCTGCGAAAAGCGGCATGCTCCGAGCTTGAGCCGTCGCAAACGTTTGACCTGGGTCGGACCGACACAGCATGCGGGTAATCCACTCCACTACGTGCATCCGCATGGACTCCCCACACAAATCACTAAATGAGGTCTCAGCATCGTCGCGTCTTTGCTACGCCCGTCCGAGCTTAAGTCCACTCTTGGGATCTACCCAGGTCGTTTGACCAGGCAGTTGCTCCGGAGGCGCCTGCGGATTGTCGTAGTAGTACAGAATGTTTCTGACAATCTCCACCCGAGTGACGAGACCATGCTCTGCCAAGTATGCCAACTCGTTGTGTTCATTCTGCAGGATGAAGGTGCGGTAGAAGAGATCCTGATCTCTCCGAGAGCCACCCGAGAGCACCGTACTGGATGCAAGGGGTAGCCTCGATGATGGCCAGGTTAAAGATTCAACACCTGGAACACCGGTTCCCGACATGCCCGAGACACCAGATTTGGTCTCATACTTTTGTCTCCAGTTTTGCATCCCAGCATTTGGGTAGTGAAGGATGACCGCATCGTCACTCTTGTTTGCTTGATATATTTCCTGCAGCATGGATCCATTGTCAGCCAACCAGCAGTGCTTATTTGACGGAATTGGCGGTGGCAAATGTCGATTCAACCGCACGATCATCTTGCCCCCTTCGTATGAAGAGAAACCACAAAATGCTTCAAGCATGCCAGCGTTGGATGGGAGATCATCCAAGCAAGGGCGATCAGGTCTAGAACCTGGCAAATTCAGCTTCAAACGCTTTGCCGCCTCTTGGCGTCGCAGGTAGACCTTGCCAAAAATACGGTCCCACCAGGCGTTGTCCTTGATTGCACGGTTCGACACACAGGCAAGCTCACAAAAACACACAAGAAGAAAAGAAGGCACTACAATCCTCGATCCTCCATGCTCCTTATTTGGACCATTGGGGAGCAAAATGCAACATGGCAAAGGACAGGTCTCTGCATCTGGTTGTTCTGGTTCAAACTCACGACCTTCTCTCTGCCGTAGGATGGAATCATATTCTCGAGGAGGGCGGAAACCGTGGCAGTGGTGACGATTAATCTGAAAAAGAGTACATTCTCGGAACCAGTCTCTGCATTCCGTATCCTCAAAAACATGTGAAGCATGTGTGCGTGAGTGTGTGTGCGAGCAAGATTGCAAGGAAGGGAAAAAGGCAACGTTTGACATGTCTACCAGGCCAGGACCAAATTGGAGAAGCATATATGTAAAATAATTGCAGAAGCCATCCATGTTTTGGCAAGTCTCTTCCGGAACAGCCTCGTGATTCCAAAGCCGGACAGCTTCAATGGAGCGCTCCTTTGAACCAAAGAACCTCCTTGCGCTGCACTCTTGCATTCGGGGGACATAGATGCACTCATCGATATCCTTCGATGGGTGATACTACCACAAAAAATAGTCTCTGCAAACGTTGTTGCTGCATCAAAAACCTACAGCCAAAATCAGCCAAACATGTCTAGCACAAAGTGAATACAAAGTGCAAAGAAGCATCCAAAAAGGCGAACCAATCAATTCCCATGTCATGGGCTTCCAAAATAGCTTGATCTGCGACGATCAGTTTTCTTGCAGAGCGATCTGCCTGCTGCTTCTTGCAAACACCTTCGTAGAAGTCATTCTTCTCCTCACCAAGCTGGGGATACAAGGGGGTTCCATGGGTGTTTTCTTGTCAATTCAGCAAAAATAACAAAAAACAAAACACATACAGAACAAAACTAACATAAACAGCTCTCAAAATGGGTCGCCCCCCTAAAGCCTTAGCCGAGACTCTTGTCTTTGATAGAAGCGGCTTTGGAGCTTTGCTTTATCCCACCAGCTCGCATCCATCCTGTGAACCGTGAGGCCAGCGCCGGCCATCTTTTTGCTATGTGCATAGTCTTCCAAAGACTTGGCATGACGGATGCTCGGGTCATCAGGGTCATCAAAAAACAGGAAGACGTGATTCCAGCCAGTGACCCAGTGGTAACGTACAAAGCTGTCAAGCACTTCTTCCGAAACTCCTCGCAACATACAAGCAATGGCAAGGCCATGCTTGTAGATGTAAGGCCAAACCTTCAAATTCTCAGGAGGATCTGCATCTACCCACCTGCAATAATCCAAAGGAACTTCAGCATCTGGAGGTGGTTTCAAGCCGACGGGCTTTAGCCTCAGACCAAGCAATTCCCAGCGACCATGTCTAGGAAACTCTTTCACTGGCACTTTCTCCAAGACCTCCTCCCGCTCATCCTCTGGATCATCTGTGAACAGGGGAACGTACGCACGGCGATGTCCAAATGAATCATCGAAAGCCTCTGAGACGTGCAATTCGAGCCAGGTTCCAGCCTTGTGGAGGCTCTGCCCTCGAAGAATATCGCCATATTCTCGGGATCCAATGATCTTGCTGTTGTAGGCCGTGGACGAGAACAACTTGCAATCTTCTGGATCAACAACCCGGTAGAAAACACGCTCGTCGTCCTCCTCCTCTTCGACCAGGGTCACCGGCTCGAGCTTCTCAGATTTCGCACGCTCCAGCAGTTGGTCCACGATGGGCTCGAGTGCATGGATGCCAGGAAACTCCCGATCACTGCGCCTGCACATCTCATCCATGAGAAGCTTCGCCTGAGGTTCCGATGTGCCAAGATTCAAACAGGCCGTCACTCCTCGAGTTCGCGCCTTGCTAAACTCGAAGGCTGGCACGAAATGAACTGCAGCACAACAATCTATCAAAGCACGCTTGAAATGCCCAAGGTGAAGCAATGCTTGTGCTCGAGTGCTAAGAAGCTCACAAAGCTGCTGTGACCACTCAGAACCACCTTCACGAATGTCACCCCGACCCTTGGGTCGGGCCTGAGTGTGGCAGTCGAAGGCCCGGTCGGCCATCACAAGGACCACTTTCCAGTGTCCGCCACCTGCCGCATTTTCTGCCTCTTGCAGGAAGTACCAGGCCCCGTGCTGGCAACAGTCCGACCACGAAGAAAATTTCTGGATTTCGGGAGTTGGCTCTTGTCCTTCAAAGGATTTCCAGCCTGCTGTCGGCACCTCAAGCTTCTCAGTTTTCACACCATACAAGGGCCGGCCACCCCGTCCAAGAACAAAGCCATACTTCACCTGACCATTCTTTGGATTTGTGTGAGCCTCCCGCGAGATGATGCAGTCTCCAAAGCGGTTCTCGTAAACATCATGATCTAGCCATCTTCGGCTAGCGGGCTTGTAAACGCCATCTGCTTCGCCACTGCCCGCGTCTTTCACCAAGATGAAGACCTAAGAAGCAATGCTAAAGAAGCAATGCAATTGTCACAAATGGCCTGCAACTGAACCCGAAGCCTTGAGGACTCATGGCGGCGCACAGTTTGCCAAGCAGAAATGAAATTGCCCTGAATTGGTCAATTGACTGAGGAGGGAACCAACTGAATTAACCCGCATGCTTCTGGCGACATGAACATGAATATAGATGAGCCCCCTCCAAGCTGAGAGGCTGGTTGAACTCGCTTCTGACCAGCTGCAGATGCCCAGGTCTCTCCATGGGCGACCCGAAAGTCCAAATTGCCATTGATCCCACTTACATCAGGGCCATAGCCCACCATGCTCGGCGACTTGAGCACAAAACCTCCGTCACCCGTTTGTTGATCGTCCAACTGACCGGGTTTGGAGGGTCCAACTGCATCGCTCGCTGCGGATCGTCATCCACCAAATTCGAATTCGAAAGATTGGGGCGGTGGTGGGATGCGGTAAGAACAACAAAGACAACAGCCAGTTCCATTGATACTGCAACATATGATATATATATATATATTATATTATATTATATATATATATTGTCAAGGACGAGATCCACTTCAAATCTTGACCACTAATAAACTAAACTAGCCTGTGGATACATATTATAGTTGAATATAGCTGATAAGATCACTGGCCCCTGAGTTGTATCGTTCTAAAGGCCACTCATGGCTCCTTTGCCTAGCACGCTCAACAAAAAAGACCACTCAAACGGAGTCGCTGAGCCACTGAGCCGCTGACTGATGTTTGCCAGGTTTTGAAAGGAGAGCTCGAGAATACCTGTCAAACATTGCAGTTCTGAACTGTGAAACTATGTCATTCTGGAAAAGCATGATACAACCACCAAAAATCCAAGGGCACGCTTTTCAGCAGCAAGGGCAGCTGATTCAAACCTGGAACGTCTAACCAGTGAATGAGGATGTTCAAGCTGGCTTGCACTGCTCTTTCAAGACTCGCAGCATCGTTGCTAGCAGCGAGTTCTTTGATCAATCAAGAGCTTCCGAATCCTGCAGGCTGAACTCCAACGCTCAGCCGCCGACAAGGTCTGCTCACAGGCAGATGATGTGGCAAAATCCCAAGCAATATTGCTCAATCCTGCGTCGCACGACTGTGCTGTCACATGTAACTCCAAAGACTGATGATGACTGAGTCTTCAAAAGTCAACGGCCAAGCCTATCCAAGTATGCAACATACTTCCCAAGTTGAGTTCTCCTAAACACCTAGGAACCAAATCACTAGGCCTCACGGCCTGAGCCCTACATGCAAGCCAAGGACCCATAATTATACATATAGGCCAACGGGCATCGCAGCATCGCTTGTTCGTCGCTCCTTGAGGGGCAAACTCATCAGTCTTGGATCCTGCGCGCACCATCAAGGCTGCAATCCTTGGCCGAGGAAACGTGTGTAAGGTGTTGATCTTGGTTGATGATCCTTGACTCCTTGTCCTTTGCTCACTAGGGACAATCCACATGAAATCAGCTGACATGTATCGTCTTTGAGACCTACACGTCGGTCCATTCTGGACTCGCCAGGTCGCAAAGGCCTGGAAACGTTGACGGCTGATCGATCGGGCAAGTCACGAAGCTCCGAGATCAGCTCCGAGAGAAAAGCATTTGTAAAAAACGAGAGTGAATAACATGGTGACCTGGTGCAAGCATATGCACATACAATACATAAATATCAAAAACATACCAATTGTTTCATGATGTTTCATGTGCCATTAACCCTAAGCAAGCGAAACTCCAAGCAAGAAATCGACCCATTGACAGTTAACACCGGGAAATCACTGAGTATGCGATCCTTCTGTCTACACCTGCTCAACTCTCCTCATGTGTGTGTTTTCTCTCTCTCTCTCTCGCCTTCATCTCACCCTTTTCTTTTTCTATGAGTGCAGCATTTGCTTTTTGGTACTGTTCTCCGTTCCGTTTGTTCTCTCCCCCAACCTTCTGAATTGCGCAGTTCTTGTCATTTAGTAGACCCATAAAATACTAAAAAATCACCGGCAGCTGGCCCAGGCCGTGTCTTGAAAATTATTTACACCACATTATATATATATATATGGGAGATCGCACTGCAAACCAGAAATCAATTCACAACCGGTACCGCTTTCCTTGGTTAACTAGGTTCAACGACAGCAAACACGGAATATGACATGATTGAATTGTCTGAGCACAAGAACTGGGGCAAAACAGCAAGAGCTTGAGGTGAGGTTTCTTTAGGACTTTAAGACCGTTTTGCTAAGTCTTCAAAACTTGCGACTGGCTTCATTACAGCATGTGGAATCCTGATGACGGTCTACTGGCTTTTTGACTCGCGGTGTGTGTGTGTGTGTGTCACAGGCTGGTTGAATGGCATCAACTGTTGGTCGGGCATAGTGATGGGTTTAGGTATTGAAGTGTAGGCGTTTATTGGCAAGCCCAACCTAGGCATGCATTTTCACAATGACAAAGTCCTGACCCTAACCAACATGGAATGAGAGCCGAGCCTTCCGAATGGTTTGGCGTGCGCCCTCTCTCTCTATATATGTGTAAACGCTCAATCTTTTTCGCCACTTTAAAAAAAAAAAAAACACACATTCCCCCCACCTACGCCATGCTGGCCAAACTCCGCGCAGTGAAACGGGGAGCCTGGTACCTCCATTGGGTGAGGGCATTGAAACGGGATCTTCTCGCCTTGAAGGCTTTCAACTGAACTAAGATACATATCCATATAATTCCATATACAGTACTGTATGTGTATATATATATATTTTTACGTAAATGCATCCTTTTAGAATGCGACCCTATACGGGTGCATGAATTCATCATGAAAAGGACGAATCTAAGTTTAACGTGGAATTCTGGAAGCGTATATGATCATATTGCAGTATACTGCATACTGATGTTGTACAGGCTTGCCTGGTCTGGAATCCAGATTGGAGCACAGGCCACCAAGCAGTCACCAATCTCAGCACTTTTAGACGGTGAAACCTTTGGTCGGTGCAGCGATGGGCACCCACACTTTGGTCGGTGCAGCACCCTCACTCCATTCGCGAGCGACATGGGATCCAGTATGTGGCCAAGGCATCTTTTATATAGATTTCTTTCTGCTGGCCTCTGATTGCTCATGTCTCATGTCATCTCTTGGATCCTAGGTGGTGGCTGCTTCATCTGCCCTTGTCGAATCTTCACAGCCAATTCCTTCAGGCTTTGCACCAACATCGGGTCTCGTGCTTGCCTCAAATGCACCGAAAACCAACACCACTGGCTTCTGCTAAAGAGAAACTGTTCAACCAGAATTACTGTATACAGATAGGACTTGTGGCCAAAAGTGAGTTAGGAGTTTGGCCAGGAACTCCTATCTCATGTGCGTTCAGAGCGCAGCACTCACCAAAGAAAACACCTGATGAGATAGGACTTGCTGACATGTAGCAGCAGTTTTTTTGTCAATGCCAAGACACCCTTTCCCCGGCCTGTAAGCCTGTAAGCTTTGAAAGCTCAGAACCATACACCTAACCTAAACACTCGCATGTGCTAGAAAGTGTCTTCCAGCACATCTGCTCCATGGTGCATTCAAACGGCTACAAGAGTTCTATCTCACATGCAGCACACCAAGAAAACACCAAGCTATGCATCGCCTCGGACTACCTGTGCTGAACCTTATATAAATACCAAAATTGCAATGATGAGATAGAACTTTGTGATTTCTACTATCGTTTTACAACTCCTCTCATTTTTTGCCTAGTATAACCATTTGATAAGTGTTCTGCAAAGCCTGGCCTATGCCATACGCAAGAACAAGTTGCAGTCCGATGTTCCTTCGGATGTTGTCAAGCTCATCAGCAATCTTCCGCAGAACTGCTATGTGTTTTTGTCTCACTTTCTGGCATTCTTCTGTCCCTTCCAAGCCTGTTGCGTTGGTTGTCAAACCTACAGTACGAATCCATATCCAGCATCCTATGAGTTTTTGTCGAACAAGTGGGCGTCAATTCGAAGGAAAAAACTGAAGCTTCAGCCACATCAGCCAAGTTTCTCTTCTCCCTGGCGATGTCTTCCAGCTCCTTCCGTTTCAGCCGTGCCGAGTCCAAGCTGCTTGCTGCCTCAAAGCGCTCTTTGAGTGCCTCTTGCCTGAGTCGAAACAGCTCCTCCTCCCACTGCTGGTCCTCAAAGTTGCACTGAGCACACTGAGGCCACGGCCATCAACACGACAAGAAACAAGCCAACAAACAACCAATGACACTAGACCTGACGCGTCGACCATTTCAGCCATTTGTTTTCAACCTCCAATTATCAGTCAAAAAGCCTAAATCAGGGGACAACACAGTACCAAATGATGCCAAGTGTCTCTCAGCTGGCGGTCCTGATGCAATCGAAGCCGCGCAGCTCTTGCTTCACCAACCAAGTGCTCGACGCGAGAAGCCAAATCTGCTTGCGTCTGCTCAAGCCTGCCACTCACTCAAAGGCACTGAGCAAAAGAGAAGAACCCCTTGGTGCAAGTTAATCATCTGACAGTACTGTTTGACACAATGCGAGCTCGCGTGGGCATCGACCAGTCCCCGGGGAATTCTGGCGTACACAAAGGTATCAGCACGAACGCTCAGATTTCCACAATGCCAAGTGCCAAACCATGTGAGTTGATTTGAGTATAGTCAAAATAGCAGTATCCTTTTGCTTCCTGACGTTAGAATCCGTTAGAACATGTTAGGGCATGCATGCCATGCATGCGCTTGCCTCTGGTTGAAGGCTGTGATCCATAGCTGACAGCTTTGCTCGATCTCTTCGACCTTCCTTGACCTCTCATCCTCGAGGTCCATCATTTCCTTCCGAGCTCGTTCATGAGCCTCCACTTCCTGATCGAGAGATTTCTGGTATTCCTCATCTGCGAGCGATGACATCTCATGTGCTTCTTCTCGAATTGCTTTCAAGGCTTCAGAGCGCTCGGCCGATTTTTGCAGAACTTCATCTTCGATGGAACTCTGGTGCACCAACATCTCTTGTTCAATCTTGTGGATTCGTTCGTCAGCATCATCTCTAACAGCACGTATCTCAAGTTGGAGCTCTTGTATCTTGGCTGCATGACCCGACTGGAGCTCCAACTGTTCGTCCTCAATCTGCTGCCTTTTAATCTCTGTCTCGCGATTGATCTCTGACAACAGCTCCTCGGCCTCTGCTTGGATGACTTTGACCCGTTCAGCCGCTTCAGCTGCATAGTCAGCCCCATGCATCGCGCAGCCGCCACCCAGGCACAAGCTGGCTTTTTGAGGCTGCAGCTGCGAGAAAGGCACTGCAAAAGCCCCGAAGTCGACACAAAGTAGACAACACGCGAAGTCTTCAAAGTCCCAAGCTTCCGACAGCGATGCCACAACAATGGCACGCAACAGCGGCTCCCTCCTATGATTTCAAGCATTTGCCAAGGCCTCTGATGCCTCCGGTTCCAGCGTACATAGAAAAGGGCATACCTCCTGCCTTAGGGGGAGGGGATCTACCCCCTACCCTAGATTAATTATTTTTATGAATCCGGGGTACCTCCACTATTTAATCCTGAGCTGCTCTAGGTCTGGATTAGGAAATTAACATCTTTTTAATCAGAGGGGTTTTAGTCTCAACCAGATCATAAGCAAAAATGACAAGGGGGGTCCACCTATTTAATCCTGAGGGCCTCCACCTAATTAATCTGCAAATTTTCAGAAGTCAGCCATAGGGTGGTTCACCACTCACATACCCTTGGATTCATTTCACACCTTTTTGCTCTCTTTCTCTTCGGCCATCCTCACTCTATTTCGCATTCCGGTACGCTGTACAGCTGACCCGTTTTTGCATAATTAATCCATACCATGGACAGCTAATTAATCCAACAACCTTGTTTTAGAATGTTTGTTGACTTCTTGGTGGTCGACCCCCTCAAGATTTTTGTATGAATTTTGAAAATTAATCCAAATAATGAATCCCAGAACTCAGGGGGGGCCTTGGGCGCATTTCCTAAGGATGCAGGTATAAAAGGGCGAGTATGGCAAGCAAACCGATCCACATGATTTGGCTATGTGCTACAAGTCTTCCCTTTCAGGTCGTGGGTGTCTTGCTCGTTTCATCTTGGTTCGGTTCAAACGAAGTGGGGCCACAGCTTGTAGAAGAACCTGGGGACATGCATTCACTATGGCTTTTGGCATCAAATCTGCCGAGAGAACCCCAGCGGCTCAATGGCGAGTTCTTCTACCTATCAACGATGCCTGACGAGGCTTTTCCTTCTTTGTTGGTCGATATGCCGTGGAAGCTACAAGGACAAAACAACAAGTTTTGGAGAAGGCCGATTTAGTGTGGCCCGGTCGGTCACGGTCTTACTGCTCTCTATCTATCTCTGAAATGTTTCCGCACCCCCTCCTTGGCAACAGCTTCCCGAAGCTTCAACTGGCATGGACAGGTGCATTTACTCAAGCGCAGCTACGGTACTCCAGCTCAGCTCAAGTTCAATCCATACCGTACAGTTGTATGGGGCCAGGTGCACAGCAGTGCAGCTGCGCAGCTGTGCTTTGTCCTCGCAGTTGGGATCGTCCTCTGTCATTGTGGCGCCAATGTGCGGAAAACTAGGCCCTTGCCGTGCAATGACACCCTGTCTGCAAAAAAGAAGGTGATGTCGGCCGAACAACATCCATGCAACTGGGGAAGAGTTTTGTTCCCCAAATTTTTGGTTGGCAGCAGTGCACGAACAGTCACGCATTGGAGTGACGAACTGTCAAGCCACGTGTTTTGTTGCACTGCTTCACTGCCAAAAGTTCAAGAAGCGGCCAGTCACTGCTAGTCGGTTGCATCCTCATTGGTGGGCTCGCCTCGTTGGGCGGTGATCTGCAGTAGGTCAGCCAGGATTCACAGGTGCTTTCACCAGCCACAACTGCCTAGAAACACCCATATATAGTATCGTCCTCTGCTCTAGTCTCACGTAATTACAGTGAGCAAAAGCCTATCGGCCAATGCAATTCCAAAGGTTTTGCGTCATTTGCCGAAGGGCACGGCTCGTTGATCACTCCACTGACACTTGTCACCACATCCTGGTGAGCATGTGTTGACTCAAACGGACAAATCAGACTCATTGCTGCTTCGCCACAGCATTCAAATCCAACAAATTCCAACTCCAACACATGGAATCAATTGCACCCTGTTCCAACATGCTCCAATCAAATGGCCATCTGGACTCCTGCTCTTTCAAGGAGTGTCCTCTCAGGGCACGCTCATCCAACACCAAGAACTAGAATGATGATAATATGCTGATGATACTTATGATGACATCCGATCTGATGGGCAATGCCCTGTAGGTAACCTACGATGGTGTCTTGCATCAGGTGATCCCGGCACTGATCCCCGAGAACCGCATCAGGTGATTGTTCTCCAAGATGTTCTCTAGACCCCCGAAGGGTACTTGCGCAACATGTAGCGCCACCCAACGGCCCTTCACCACCCAACGGGCCCTGGGTCTTGAGTCTTATATGAATCTGAAGAAAGGCTTCAGGATCGGGATTGCATGTCTCTAGAGTCTAGAACGGCCAGCCAACCAGACCACCAACAAACACACTTTAAAAACATAAACTTCAAGATCCTCACAAAAACGGACTGACCACCGAGAAAAACAGACATGGGGGAGTGCAAGTATTGCTAGTTAACACCCAAGAAATAGTAAACAAACATGAACCAATCTACTTGCAGAACGCGAAACCCGGTCCTTGTTTGGAGCGATCAACCCTCAAGGCCACCCAAACCTTGGACTCGTCCCAGCTACGCGATGCTACGCGGCGACAAATGGCCAAGAGTAGCAGATTGAGCTTGCATTTCACTCTCCAAAATGGGTTCGATTCACTTGGCCTCTCGTTTGAAGCTTACAGTAAAAAACGCATGTTTGAGGGCCTAACTTGTGCGGGGCGGGGTGTCGTTTTTCTGCGGACGGAGGCAAGGCACTGCGGAATTACATTTGAAGCCACTTCCAAATGAAATTTGAAGAACTCGTTCTCCCGGATGAAGGTCCTTAGAAGGATGAAGTGCTGGTGAAGGCTCGTGGAGGTCATGGGGGAATGCTGACACGGCCATTGATGGCAACATTACTGCGAACAAAAAAGTGTGTTGATTTCTCTCTCTCTCTCTCTCGCTCTGCGATGTAGCCACTCAGTCACATTTCATTTGAAAGTGGGACTCTGTACTAGAGCGTCTTTGTTTGGTGATACACACACAATATCGGGGCATGTGCTTGATAATCGAAGCTATTTCGTGTTGGCCAAGCAACACCGAACCTTTCGATCCAATCAGTCTCATACCAAATCGAAGACGAGGAAGTATTGCCCCAATCGTGGAGGGTCTGTACAGACCTGTCAAGAAGGCTGCAGCACAAAGTTCAGGCAAATTGCTTCTGACTGCAAGCTTGCAACCGGGTCACGGTCTGATCTGTCTATCACTCAATTTCAAATTCTTTTGCACACCTTCAATCACAGCACGTCCACCTGGCTCGGAATTGAGCTGGATGTACAATGCATAATATATATATATTAGTGCGAGAACAGTGCAATATTTTCCAAATACTTTGATGATGAGGTTGACGACTCTGGAGTGAGATCACAGGGCCTGCGTGAATGCAAAAGTGATCAATACCTGGGTGGCAAGAAAGCATTGTAATTGCTAAAGATTGGGTTTGCTTGGACATGCAACCATGGGTCTAGAGTAAAGACTAGCGAGGAGGGTAGCTGGTGGCTATGACAATCTAATTGATCACATTGAAGCATCTCTGTGGTTGGTGCTGGCCATTGCACCCGCGCACACAATACAGCAAGCGAACAGAATCCGTCTGAACAGCAGCTGAACGTAACTCTTTTTTTGCAAGCGCTTGCACATCTTGGCATCGTGTCGAATGTTCCGACAGCCCAAGGTCTGCACAAAGCAGTGGCCAAAGCTGAATTTCACAAGAGCCCTTCTTCTGGGCTCTGGATCTAGCTGCATGCCAGTTTTCTAACAACCAGCGCTCTTCTGAGCCATGTCTCAGTTGAACTGGAATTGCCACTAGCTGGCTGGATTGCGGCATAGACCAACTCTCACGCGAGAAATAGGTACATGAACCTGAGATAGGAGGTTTGTTGGTAGAAGAGGTTCAAGCAGAAGGCTTGCTGGTTTGCCTTGCGCTCACAAAGGAATAGATTATCTCATCGGAGGCAAGTCTAATCAAAGTATAGGTTTAGCTGCAGCTTTAGCTGTCTGTTGGTCTGTGCTTGTTCTCGGCCTGTGTTTTCCCCGCATGGTCTTGTCTCTGCCCCAAAACGGGAAAACCTACTTTAAGTGATCAAATATGCACAAACAGAATGGGCGCAAGCTTCAAAGTCTGAGATCGTCATGGAAGCTTCTTGATGCACAGTTGATTTGCCAACAGTTGCAAGGGTACAATATGCATAATATGATAATATGTAATATGCATATGCGGGCGTGATACATAGTGAAGCCACAGCATGGCGCTCAAGAATCACCCTGTCTGAGATACCTGACAACCCTTCTGACAAGTTTAGCTCTTGCTGCCATGGGACATGCTCATAAGGGCAAGGCCTGTCAGGAACATTCTGGTACATCAGTGCTTTTGCACTCCTCACAGACTTCTGGGGACTTGGGGTTCTATCTTGCTTTCCTAAGGACCTGCCGGAGAAAACAGCAGCAACCAATAGAACAAGTACGACAAAGTACGATGTGATTCCAAATTGATAGCACAGCTTGGGCATAGTTGGGCCTTCCCTGCGCCAACCCTGTGTTTGGCCACACCTGGCGCAAAACTATCTGCCAAGGACTTCTCCGGCTCCTCGGTGGTCGTCGTTGTGTACCTGAGGTGTCGTCGGGATCGGTGAAAAGGCTCGGCAAAATAGAGCCATCCAGAAAAGGTGCAGCAAAAGAAACACATTTAGGATGCAGTTGTTGTGCAATCCCACGAATCCCCCTCAAAAACTCTTGATTCATGTGGCTGGTCCGTTGCTGAAGAAAGAACAGATAAGAACAGTATGGTCGCACGTAATTAGGGCTTTCCTGCATGAGACGGCACTCACCGCAACAAGAAGAACATCGAAGAAATAGAAAATCAGGTTGGACGACGGCTCACTGTGTAGCAGTCCCTCAACAAACCCAGCTTGGGTGGATGGTTGCTTTTGACTTGTTGGCCCTACCCCAAAAAGGTCGTACGTTTGACATGGTAAGCCGCGACAAAATCATCCTAGCT